CTCTCTCTCAAATAAATAAATAAAATCTTAAAAAAAAAAGATTTTATTAATTTGATAGAGAAACAGCGAGAGAGAACACAAGCAGGGGGAATGGGACAGGGAGAAGCAGGCTTCCCGTGGAGCAGGGAGCCCGATGCGGGGCTCGATCCCAGGACCCCAGGATCATGACCTGAGCCGACGGCAGACGCTTAAGGACTGAGCCACCCAGGCGCCCCTATAAGTTTCTTTTTGTTAATATAGTCTGGATACAATTCCCTTATATGATTTGCAAATATTTTCTCTCATTCTGTGGGTGCCCTTTGAAGCATAGAAGGTTTTAATTTGGTAAGTCCACTTAATTTTTTTCTTTAGTTGCTTGAGCATTTGGTGTCTTACCTGAGAACCCTTGCCTAGCCCAAGAACCGGAGGGTTTACTCCTACGTTTTCTTGTAAGAGTTTTATACTGTTAGCTCTTACATTTAGGTCTATGATCCATTCATTGAAGAGTTTTTTTTTTTTTCCTTTTTTACTTTAGTTCTTTACATGTCTCAAATCTAAACTTCCTGCTCAAGGCAAGCGCTACTCTCCCATTCACGCTGGTGGGTAGGTTCCTTTGCCCCACGCGGCAAGCACACGGCCCGCGCATGCGCTCAACATCCCGCGAAGCCCCACCCCCCGCGCGTGCGCACAGGTCGCCTGCGCCTGCGCCGACGGCCCCTGTCCGCGCGCAGCCGCATTCTGCGCTGTTGCTTGGCCGTGTCGGGGACGTGTTGGGAGCTTGCTGGGACGTGGGTGGTGGTCCGTGGCTTTGGAAGCTTCGGGGGTACCGTCCGCCTGGCTCCCGGCGCCCCACGTTTCCACGGCCTTGGGCGCGTCCTGGTTAGGGCCCTTCAGCCCCGCCCTGGGCGCGTCGTCGCCCGAGCCTCCCGCCCTCCGGCCCATCCTCCTCAGGTTCTCCCCCTGCCGCCCCCGGCGCGTCCTCCTCAAGCACCCGCGCCCGGTCCCGGCCGGTCCTCCTCGGGGCCCCCGGCCTGCCTCCGGCCCCCTCCGTGTCCCTCCCCGTCCCACCCGGTCCCGGCCGGTCCTCTTCGGGGCCTCCGCCCCCTCCGCCCCCCCCCCCCCCCCCGCCGTGTCCCTCCCCGTCCCCACCCGGTCCCGGCCCGCCTCCGCCCCGGGCCCGTCCTCCTCGGGGCCCCCCGCCCGCCTCCGCCCACGGCAAGATGGGCGACAACACCAGCCCCATCAGCGTGATTCTGGTGAGCTCGGGCAGCCGGGGCAATAAGCTGCTGTTCAGGTACCCCTTCCAGAGAAGCCAGGAGCACCCGGCGTCCCAGACAAGTAAGTGAGCGCCGGCGGAGACCCCCTGCCCTCCCCGCCTCGCACGTTCAAATGCAAGTCCTGGACTTTCTTCTTCTCCCGAGGATGTAGCCGATGCCTGCTCGGTGCAGAATATTTGGAAAGTACGGAAAAGTAAAACCAGAGAAAAATCCCTCGTAATTCAACATGCCCAAGCCACTGTTGCCAACGTTCAGCCATGTCTCCAGCCCTTTAAGAATATATATAAGCATCGTGTGAATGTATTCAGCTTGAAAAAAATCTGACAGTACAGATAAAGGTCAAGTGTTCTTCGGACCCCCCCCTCCCCAGTTCTGCTCCTTCGCCATCGCGGGGGTAACCACCTGCCCTTTTGGCACTTGTCCCCCCTGTGCAGCTACGTATAGAATGTATTGTTCTGCAGGCGCTGTCTTTTCCTTGGAGCACTTCCAGTGTATAAAAAGATCCCCCTCACTCACATACCCTTTCCCTGGGGACAGACGCTTAGGTTACTTGCACTTTTTCACTATCGTGAAGTTCCTCATTTATGTTTTGTTTTAAAATTACTTTTAAATTTGTTAGCATGGGACACAGTTTTAAAGGTACGAAGGGGTATAGTTGATGGGAAGATCATTTCCCACCGTTGAACCCCAGCCACTCCTTTCCCCTGGTAGGGGCAGGTGCTGTTACCATTTTCCTGTGTGTTTTCCCAGAACCTTCCGTGTAAATACAAGCATGTGCACACATTTTCTTTTCTTTTTAAAATTATGTGCTTTTTAAAAAGTTTTATTTTTAGTGATCGCTACACCCCGTGTAGGGCTTGAACCCATGATCCTGAGGTCAAGCGTCCCGTGCTCTTCCGACTGAGCCAGCCAGGCGCACCCACATGCTTTATTTTCTAAGCAGAAGTGAACACACGATACACACGGTTCTGCCCTGTTATTTCCATATTCACTTTACATCTTGGATATAGATTTAGAATCACGATCAGAATCATGGGATGAACATACTGTGATTTATTTATTTAGTTTTCTCTGTTGATGGGCATTTAAGTTGCTTCCAAACTTTGGCTAATAGAAACAGTGTGAATGTCTTTTCTGTATACAGTATCATTTTTCACAATATGAGATCAATTTCCCGAAGTGGGATGGTTGGATCTAGGGGATAAGGAACATATTTATTTTTAGTAAATCAGATTTTTCTATCTTTGTTAATGGGATGGGTGAAAAGTTGTCTCTGAAAGTGGTTTTCTGGGGTTTTGTTTTGTGTTTTGAGAGAGGGGGAGAGAGATGGCACGTGAGCGAGTGGGCATGCAATGGGGGTGGTGGGAGGGGGGCAGAGGGAGAGAGAACCCCAAGCAGGCTCTGTGTTCAGCGTGGAGCCCAACGCAGGGCTCGATCTCACCACCCTGAGAGCATGACCTGAGCCGAACTCAAGAGTTGGACGCTTAACCAGTTGAGCCCCCCAGGTGTCCTGAAAGTGGTTTTGATGCACGTGTGTCTTATGACTGAGAGTGAGCATGTTTTCCTCTTCTCAGAGCCGTTTGGATTTCCTTTAGCATCCAGCTCACTTACAACCTTCACCTAATTTATTTCTTTTCTTTTTTTCTAAAGATTTTATTTATTTATTTGACACACAGACAGCGAGAGAGGGAACACAAGCAGGGGGAGTGGGAAAGGGAGAAGCAGGCGTCCCGCCGAGCATGGAGCCCGATTCAGGGCTTGATCCCAGGACCCTGAGATCATGACCCGAGCTGAAGGCAGTTGCTTAACCAACTGAGCCACCCAGGCGCCCCAACCTTCGCCTAATTTCATTGTGGGTTGAGTTTTTCCCTGTAGATTTGAAGGGGCTCTTTTTATATCTAGGGTAAAAATAGGCCTTTGTGACAAAGCCGTATGTTCTTAGCCGGTTTGCCTCTGTAGTTCTTGCTACGTAGAGTTTTTTTGTTTCTGTTTTTTTAAAGATTTTATTTATTTGAGAGAGAGAGAATGAGAGACAGCACGAGAGGGAAGAGGGTCAGAGGGAGAAGCAGACTCCCCGCTGAGCGGGGAGCCCGATGCGGGACTCGATTCTGGG